TACCCCACCTCGCTCCCCCCCCAGCCACTGATCACTGTCCTCTAACATCTCAGCAATTGTACGGCCATGGCGGTTTTTTGCTCCTAACGTTTTGGCAGCTGGAAATTCACATGCACGTTCCTGAAAATATGATATGTACAATCTCTCAACAGACTGATGGAGCAACTCAAAAAGGAAAAGATATTAACTGGTGGTGACACTTACCAGAAGGACCATCCGTAGTCCCATGAATGTGGTCGCCAGTCCTCTGGCCCAAGGCTGACTGTCACTTGGAAAACTTGAGTATACATCATGTGTGCCACCATCCCCAAGAGACCTGAGAAGCAGCGATGATAATAGGAATTTTTGTGCTAACGTGTTTTATAATTCTTGAGACAGCTACTGCTGGAAGTGCTTTGGAAGCTCCAGAGAAGACTTTGTTGTACTTTTATGCCTGCTATTCTGCTGTGGAGGAGGGAGCTGCATGGGCAGAGGAAAGGTGTGACTGAGAGCTCATTATTTTACATCATACTGAATTCTCAATTAAGAGAAGAGTTAAAGAAAGAAAATCGTTGAAGAAAATGTCGCACAATTAGTGTCACCACCAACCTTGCTGCTGTGAAACAGGGGTACGCCACCCACAAGTTATCTCACTTAGCCCCTCGCAGACAGGCCTCAGGTAAGAGAATAAGGAGAGAGGCTTCTGTAGGCAATGCAAGATTGAATATGTTAATGCCAAGCAACGATATTTTATCTGAACAGTTGCTAAGATTTATAAATTTCAACACTTATAAAACACTTGGAAGTTACACAAGGAAGTTACGTGAACACAATATTCCTGATGCTGTGTGGTGAGAGGACAACACAAGAATACTTCTGAAGGCACAATGTTGGTGATGCTTGCTTTTGTGATACGATTATATTTTGCTGATATAACTACTGCTGGGTGAAGATTAGACCATGTGTTAGACACTTGACTCACTGTAATGCTAAAGAACAGGGTGGCGGTTAGATCACCGAGTTTGCTCTGCCATGTAGCTGGCCAGCTCGTATTTTTACATTTAGATATCTCTGAGGAAAATCAAAGCCCACTTTTCAAGAAGTGGTGGTCAGTAACAGCTCTGATGATGCCTGGAGAATTTTCTAGCTACAATAATTTGGAATGTGTCTGCTTTAGTACCTAGGCAGTGCAGAATGACGCTCCCAGCTGCACTCATGAAAAGCATGGGTTCAGGCTCTCTTAGGTAAACTGTGGGGCAGGATCATCATTTTCCAAATACACCTTGGACCCGCAGATGTCAAAAGCCCCTTGTGCTGCAACAACAGCTCAAGGCACTTTGAAATGCTGGTGTTCTGCCATTGTGGGGTACAGTGTGGTCCCATACATTACACTTTGCTCCTTAACCAAAGTAGCCATTTACTGTTGTGTCTGACCATCTACTTTTTTCCACAGTTGCCCTTCCTCCATGTGGAAGATCCTGATTTTCCCTCCCCAGACCCAAATTTTGGCTCTCCTTTCTGGCTTACTTTCAGAGTCTAAAGCACTTCATTAGTCTCATCAGACATGTGGATGATTCAGGGCAATTCTGGGGGAGGGAAGTGGGGGAGCGTTGTGTTTGTGTTGTGGGTATGTTAAGCAGGACGTTCAGCAAGACAAATGTCACATTTGATACAAACAACAACTGAAAGAAGATATTTTACTACAAGAAGCTGCGGTGATGTGCTCAGCTGCTTCGTGTCTGTATAACACACTGGAAGGTTAGGAGGTGGAAAGAGTAATTCACATCAGAAGAAATGATTATTCTGCAGGGTGGGTGGCCTAATGGGAGCACAGAAAACTGGTACACACCTTGCTTGTTTCTGGCTATATTTAATTTCCAGAATTCACTGGGAGCTTGCTGTACTTTTTAAATCAGTGGATTTCTCTCCAGCTGGTGGTTACGGCATTGATCTTAAAGTCTGAGGTTTGCTGTTCCTATAGCTACTGTCAGTAATTTTTCAACCTGAATAAAATATTACAGACTGCCCTGAGACATGTCACAGTCACTCAGAGCCATCAGGAGGCTTGACACGGCCAGGACGAGCTTCAGCAAGGCTGCTCTGCTGTGTGCTGTCATGCAAAACCTAACGGGGTTTCAGCAATATTCAGCCCTTTGGCTGCGTGGGAGGCCAGGATGACAGCCCACTGATACAGGTGAGTAGGAGGTCGTCAGCAAGTTCCGCTGTAACACAGGGACCATGGTGAAAACGTGGCATTTGTTGCTTTATCCACCTAACAGCGGGGAGGGGCAGGGGCCGACATGTACCTGGCTGTGCTGTCAGTGGCGTTCTGCCACGTACAAGCTATAGCAAAATAGTACGAGGCTTTCTTGCATTGTGCTGCTTCATGCACTGTTGGTTTGGTTTGTTCCTGATGCCACCCATTGGTTTAGTCTGTTTTAGATGTAGCTTGCCAAGTGCTCCATGGGAATATCCTATGGTATTTTATGTTGTACATTTAGGGGTCGCATGTTGGGTAAAATGGCGGGCCTGTAACATAAATCAACAAATGCTGCATTTACGAGATCACCTTTTCCTCCAACTGCCTGCTTAAGGCTGGACAAAGAGGACAAAATGCCTGTATGCCCACCCACCTGGGGTCCAGGGCAACAGAGGCTTGCAGGTGGGAAATCCTGATGCTATGGTGAACTGGAGTGGATGGGAGTGCAGAAACACTGACATTTATAGTTGGCTGAGGATCATTGGCCTTGCTACAGGACCAGAGCTGTTTCTAGCAAAGCATAAGGAACTAAATTTGGAACAGACAATATATTTTAAAGCATTTTTAGATACCTTTACTAAATATATTATTTGTTGAATATATCACATGAATTAAAATGCTTTATTATAAGCATTACATGCGAGATGTAAGTTCCTTAATTTGTATAAGGTGAAGAAGAATACCAAAATGCCAGTGTTGTGGAGGTTTGTAATGATGCATAAGAGGTGAAGAAACAGCAATAAGTGGCCACACTGTTAGGATATCTTTTCCTAACCTTTAGATGTTGAGATATGAAGTTGTGAAGATCACATCGCACTTTGAGGAGGGAAATCTAGCACAAAGTTAATGAGAGGTCTGTTGCTCCGAGGCAAAGCCCTCTTTGTTATGTGATTTCTATAAAGTAGTGTCATTATAAATATGCTAATATTAAATAAATATGCTTTTCTTCTTTCCTCTGAGATTTCTGTCACTGCAAAAAAGCAGCTAGCAGGGTTCAGGGTTTGGGGCTTTTTTTTTTTTTTTTTTTTGCTTCTTCCTACTTTTCTATCCTTTTTCTCTGTAAAATTTGAATTTTATATTTGGAACATCATGGCAATGTACTTATAAAGAGGGAAGGAAAAATAAAAATAGAAAGATGTGTAGGAAAGAAAACTTCATAATTCTTATAAAACTTAAAACTGCAGTTAATGGTGAAGAGAGAGAAACAGCATGGAAATAATTGTTTGAATGCTGAAGAATTCCACATAGTTTGATTTTGAAAATTGAAGACTTTTTTTTTAAGCCTAAATTACATCCAAAGCTGAAAAATATGCTTTGGCAGTTTTTATCAGATTTTTTTTTTTTGGTCCTTCCAGCTCTGCTTCTGATCTAAGTTTTATACCACTTACAGTATTTCATAATTACAATCTATTCCTGAAGATAGAAACTCCTTCACAGAAAAGTACACTGATGTTATAATCTCTTTCAGCTTGAAATACAGCGGAATAAAATGCATTTTTATTGCAGAAGTTCTTTCTGCCAGTGAGGTGGGTGCAGGAGTGCTCACAAAAGCCAGATGTGGCTGGTTGCTTGTATAAATCCTGGGAAGTGGAGTTTTCAGCCAGCATATAAGTGAAGGGACACTTAATTACATGGTTAGATTTGATAACTTCTTTTAGAGAAGTGAATTTCTCAAGTTCATCCGTGTTCATTCAGTACAGACTGAGCATGAAAATGGCCTGAAACAGTTGTGCTGAGAGATGTACGTGTGCCCACATTTCTCTTGGGGTTGCTCCCGAGTGAGATTACTAGAACCCTTTTCATTCTCAATTTCGCTAATGAACAAGATGGGCTTCTTTCCTTGGTTTGAAGCATCAAGCCTTCACCTGCTTTTAGGATTAACACAGAAGAAAGAATTCTCGACACTATATGCTTTTCTGTTGGATAATCAGTGTGATGATGCTGAAAATGGAGGCTCAGGCCATGGCTATGGTAATGGCTGTGCAGGCTAGGGGGAGGCTGATTACTACATTGCCCTTCTGGAATCAGGAATATATATTTTGACTTCTCTCTGGCAAGAGGCAAATTTATCATGCTGTCCTTGTTCCAAAGGAACAAAGAATTGTAGTGAAAAATGCGATGGTTATCTGGGGATAAAAGAGTTTTGTAGCCCCCAGTTTTTATTCTTTCAGAGTTTTAGAGTTTTGTTTTGTCGTAGCTCCTCTGGCAAAAGGGAAAGGGAAGGTTCATACCTGAAAGCACAGTGAAGACAGCAGCAAAGGCATTTAACTTGAGCCCATCTATCACACTGCTTGAATGAAAGAGCTCAAGGCACATAAGGCTGAATCCGACGACTAACAGCATGATGTACAGCACCTCGGATACCACCGACAACCACAGGACACCTGCAATGCACAAGAGCAGCGACTGGTCACTTACTTAGTAAATACTTTCAAGAAGTAAAGTTGGCAAAAATTTATTAGGAAATCAGGAATATCTGGGAGTAATTGGGTATTCAGAAAGTTTGAATTTAGCAAACCACCACCCAAACTCTGAAACATAGAAGAAGTCGTGAATGACGATGTGAAGAATGGCAGGGTGGTAAAGATACTGCAGAAAGAACAGGCTGTTCCCTAACATCTCAGCTTGGCTCATGAACCTCGTTGGGTATATCCAGAGCAGCTTGACTCCCCGACCCAAGTCACAGGACACAGAATGCATTTTCCCTCCCTGTGTCATGATTTAGATGAGCAGAATCTAGCACACACGGTGGTGATGGCACATAATACCTTACAGGATACGGGCAGGTGGGAGATGAACAGGCTCAGATACCTCTTTTTCACGAGGCTGTGCAAAGAAAATGTGTTCAGTCTAGGTTTTGAAATGCTTATCATAGAATAGTGTTGGGCCTGTTATTAGAAACTGGTGTCCTGCAGAAAGACTGTTCTGACTTGGGGCATTTGCATCCACCACACAGATCTCTGCTGCTGGGGCTGATATGAGAACTGCCAGGATACCAGCGGCGTGGAGCCAATTGTGTGTAACATACTCAGTTGAAGAGCTCCAGATACAGAATTTGGTCTGCCTTCAGCCCCTAGGTAAACTCTCTCAGGTGAAGGGCAGAGTTGATGCACCACTTTTGACCAGCACGTTCTGCAGGACTTTGGGGTCGTGCACAGGTAAGTGGGTCTGGCAGCATTTCGTAGCAGCTGATTCATCCGCTGTAGGTGTTACATCTGGAAATTTCAGCACAAAGCCTCTAGCAGGGTCTGCTGAGTCTTTTAAAGTTGCCAAGCCATGGGGTGAATTTGAGAGGATGATAACAGATGATAATGTTGAGTCCCTGCCAGATTTCCAATCACCGTTTCAGCACGAGAATCTGCTAGAATTCCTCAGTACATTTGCTAACCTGATTGTTAGAGAATTCACCTGGAAACAATGAGCAGTGATGGAAAATTTCAGCCTAAGTAGTTGAAACATGGAAAGTTAAGCATCTGAAGACAATGGCTTCTATTAGAACATGTTAGCTGTAACCATAGAGACTGCTACAGGCTTCACTTATTAATAAGTTCTCTCCTCAGTGTAAGAACGTGTGTGTGATAATGCCTATAGTCGAGCTTATCAAACAGATAGGCAGTCTCACTTTCATCAGATATTTGAGTGTCCTTTTAGTGACCAGAATGACCCCAGCTCAAATTTTGTCTGGGAACTTGTCTTTATAATTGCATCTAATTAATATGTGCTATTTGTTGTTGCCACGGTATCTGACCTTTTGAGTTTTTAAACAATACTACAGAGACAGTAATAGATAAACCTTTTAATTTCTCATAGTGACTGTATGTCTAATTTTCCATCTATCAACAGCAAAGTGCTGTTGATCTCACTCCTATTAGTCAACTTGGTGTCAGGGTAACTGACACACTTTTCCAAAAAGAAATATGAGTGAGAGAGAGCGAGGGTGGTGTTCTGCGATACAGTAGGATTAAGGAGGGATTTTGCCTCATTTTCTCACAAACAGAAGTTTCTATCACAAGAGAATGATGAAATGGTTTGAGTTGGAAAAATTAGATTATGTAAACCTGACCTACAAGCTGAGGCAGCAGAGAGCCCTAACTAACGAGTTCTAGTTCATGAATATCTGAGCCCAAACTTGAAAGAGTAATATACAACGTATCTGCCCAGACATTTATTCGCCTGTCTCCACTCTTGAGGATACTCACTGCTGCTATCTACACACGAGGGCAGTGCTGTAGCAGTGACTGCAGTTCAAGGCTGTGGTGTGGCTCTGTCCTCTACTTCCTTGGGTGAACATCTGCTGAAGGGTCAGCTCAAAGAACTGTAGTCAATGGAGTAACATCAGGCTGGTGGCCAGTCACTAGCAGTGTTCCGCAGGGCTCAGTTTTGCCCATTGAAGAGCACAGACCCTAAGGCCAGTGCTCTTCAATGTTTTTATCAATGACCTGAACACAGAAGTTGAGTGCATACTAAGAAATTTTGCTGGTGATACTAAACTAAGAGGAGACGCTGAGTCCCTTGAGGGTAAAGAGGGCTTAGATATTTTGGTGGATATGAGTGCTGGGAAATCACCAGCCGTATGAAATTTAACAAGAACAAATGCTGGATTCTGCACCTGGGACAGTGTAATCCTGAATGTACCTATAGAGTAGGGGGCAAGAGGCTGGAGTGCCACCCTGCAGAAAGGGATCTGGGGGACTGACTGACGGAGCACTGGAACAGGCTGCCCAGGGACGTTGTGGAGTCTCCTTCTCTGGAGATATTCAAGACCCGCCTGGACAAGGTCCTCTACAGCCTACTGTAGGTGACCCTGCTTCGGCAGGAGGGTTGGACTAGATGACCCAGAGACGTCCCTTCCAACCCCTACCCTTCTGTGATTCTGTGACTGGTTGATGATTTGGGGGTTTAGTTGATGTACATCAGTTGTGTGCATGTTTTATCTATTGCCCATCTGTGAAACAGTGCTTGAAGCTGGATGCTGTAAACACAAACATAGCGTCCTTGAGAAATAACAGGATGCTGAAGAGATGCACATATGCCTCTGTGGGAGGTTCCACGTTAACATGTCGAGAAGGCAAGTGAGGGGCTACTGCTCGAGGCAGCCTTGTGCACATTCGGAGTGACAGCAGGGCACTGGGAAGTGAGGGTGGAGGGCAGGGGGGCCGAGCTGTTGTTCTGTGTCCTGCTGGTGTAGGAGAGAGGAATGGGAGGAACGAACACCTAACTGTGTGGCTGGTGTCACAGAGAGTGCTTTGGCTTCTCTAACCACAGGGTCCTCTTTGAGGAACAAGCGCTGCTGAGAGGAACGGGATCCACCTGGTCAAATGGGACGAGTGGTTTTGCCAAAAGGATAACCTTGCAAGGAGATCTTCACACCTGATATGCTGGAGAAGGCTGGTTGTAATTTTAAGAGCTGTAAGGGTGTGGGAGACAGTGAGAAAGTGTCAGGGGACTGGAGCATGACGCACAAGGTAAGGCAGAGAGAACTAGACCTTCTCATCCTGTAGAAGAGAAGGTGAAGGTTTTGCTGCTGAAGGCTACCTAACGGAAGGATACAGAGGACAAAGCCAGACTCTTAGAGCTAAACAGGAGTTGGATAAGACAAAACTTGCAACATCAGAAATTCCAGACTGAGCTAAGCAAAAAAAGTGGGCAAACACTGGAAGAGGGGCCCAAGTGAGGCTGTGGGATCTCTGTCCTTGGAGACATTCAGATCTCCACTGGATGTGGCCCTGAGTGGCTGGATCTAATGGACATGTTTTCACCAGGGGCTTGGACTAACGGCTCCCTTCCACCCTAAATCATTCTATTATTTTTTAATTGCACAGTTGCTAGGTCTAATGTGCTGGGGGAGCTGCTGGAGGGAGGAGGTTGGCTGGTGTAGGGGATAACTGGAGTAGAAACAGAGCTAAACTATGGCTCTGATGAATGGCTCAATGAGACATGAGTTTTGCTGCCCTGTGAAACCTTTTCCCAATGAGACACAAAGACTGGGTGAGCTTCCCATGGGAGGCATAGACAATTCTTTCTTCTTTTTGGGTCCTGTTCCTATCTGGAAAGGAACTCTATATGTCTAACTCTCATGTCTTCTTTCATAGTGCACACTGAATATCTGCTCTGTGCCTTTTTAAAATGCATTTAATGTGGGGGAAGGTAAGGCACACATGCAGTGTTTGCATATTTCTCAGTGTGTCCTGTCCTGCCTGCTTTGATTTTGAATTTCATCTGAAATAATAACATCCAGAAAATGCAAGCTATATCTGGATTTGCATCTTCCTGTGGCTGCCAGAAGTAGAACAGTTGATTCAGATTATTAATTCAGGAGACAGTGTCTTTCTATTCTGTGCTGATGGTGAAGTGATCTCCCACTGCTATTCTCTCAACGTGAGATCCATGAGGCAGTCACTTGGCATCATTTACTTCCACTTACAATCTCTTACAGCCTCCTTCCTGCACAGTAGAGAGATCCTTCTCTTGAGGAGACCTCAGTTGTTCCAGGTGACAGGGAGGAAGCTCTCCAGAGGACTTTTCTCTTTCCATGTCTTCTCTGCTGTCACCTTTCCTGTCTGTCTTAGTTCCCACCAGCCTGTGTCTTTTGCTCCAGGGGTTTGTCTGGCCTAACTCGGCGTTTGTGCACAAATCTCTCCTTCAGAAGAGTCAGCACTTGATTCATTTGGAGATTCCTACCTGGAAGGCCTGCATCTGAGAGTCTGTATTCTTATCAATTACCAGCTTTTTCTCATTTTGTGTTTTTCATCCTGTTTATGCTTTTTCCTTGCCTGTTCATCAAACCAACTGTTACGTGTGCAGAGAAGGTGCTGCGGGTCTGTGTACAGAGCTCAGCTGGGACGCGCCTGTTATGCCAAGGATGTTCCTTGTCAATGCAGAAAGATGTCAGGTTCTGACCTGCCTCCTCCTCACTATGTGCAGCATTTGTTAGACGGTGTGTCATCCCTGTTCACCTTGTAGGAGATAATGCTGTGACATTGTGGCAGTGACGTGAGACCTACTAGGAAAGGAGAGTCTTTTACTTTGAAACAAAACTAAATCAAAACTGATTTCACTTACACTCCCGTACACACGCTCTCACAAGCACGAGCATGTGCAAGGAGTCCATTCAGCATGCAAGCAGCAAGACACATGTATTCAGTCAATCTTTCCAGGATTCCCTGAAGTAATATAGAAGATGCCACCTGTTGAGTCTTCCTCAGGTCTTCTGGGCTTTTTGTAGGTTAGCAAAAATGTGCTGGTTTTGCTTGTTCATTTTTGTCCTGGCTAAGAGCGGACAGAGATCTGTCTTGCTGTTCTGTCACATCTCTGTTCCACGTCATGCTGTACTTGTCCTGTATCTCCCAACCTGGCGTCTGAGAAGCTGCAAGTAGATGGTCAC